CTAGACTCCATTTTTAGCCAATCAGGCAGAAAATGTAATAATTCAAGTATTAATCAGTCCAAGTTTATTTCCTGTAGATGGATTTTTCACTTGTCTCATCATTTCTTCTTGCTATGTTGAGATCTAAAAACTAGAACTGATTGTCACGCTCACGGTCTATTGTAAATTCTTTGTGAGAAAGAGCCACATTGAGGTTTTCAAACATCGTGGGTGTGTAATCCATGTTGTTGCAAACCACAAACGTGTCGTCAACGTACCTGCAGTAATTAGTGACTTGTCTTATACATAAACAGTATTTTCTTCAAATTCATAGTCAGAATATCGGTACTCACTTTTTATTTTATTAGCTATTCGCTTGTACAATTAACAGACATGGAAGCAATGATGATAGTAAATAAAAGTATTCTTGTAACAAGTGCCACACCCTTATCAGTCAAGTGGTGCTGATAGATGGGCATACATAACTATTAGATGCCATAAATAATCATTTTCCAGTAGGATAATGCAAGTGGAAAATATTAGTTAAACATGGGATATTTCGGTGATTATGAACTAGTCAGATGTGAGCGAATACTGGAAAAATGAGAAATTAAATCCTACTTTTCCCATGTTTCCACCATTTTCTAGCTTATCTCATATGTTTTTTTCATCTAAATAGCTACTATTCTCATTACTTAAGGAGAGATTGTCATCGATGGATATAGAACACAGGGATTATCCGATAGTTCGTGGCAATATATTTGCAGTGCTAAGTAAAGTACTTTATTCAAGTTTAGGTTCTAGTAAGAAGGCATCTTGTGCGTCGGTGGCATAGCAGTTATGATGCTTGCTGACCATGCACATGGTCCGGGGTTTGATCCACGGCCGACTCACTCATTTACCTCGCTAAGCCAGAAATAATGCTGGTAAAGAGAAAAGGTTGGGTATGAGGCTAGCAACCCCATCCTGCAAAAATTGACACTGCTGAAGAAAGTTCAAGCCTCTAGCTTGAAGTCCTGTGTTCCACTGGGGAACGTGAAGGAAAAAAAGAGAAGGTATCTTATGGTGTAAACGGTTTTCTGTTCAGTAACTGTACATCCGTTTTTATAAAAGCATACATTTCCTACAGACTGCTGAATTGATTTTTTGACTAGAGTGCAAAAAAACATATTTCTTCTTGACCTCAATCGTTGCACTGATTCTAAATGAGTTAACAATAAATCTATATATTTGTTAGTTGATGTACTTACATAACTCATGATGTTTGTAATCCAATAATTATGTAAAAATTTAAAAGTGCATTTTATCCCATGACTAATGATTGGATCTGAGCACCAACCCATTTTACGCTGATTATTTTCTAAGTTTAACAAACAGATTCTCAATTTAACTTTCACAGTAATAATAAAATGACTCTTACTAAATTTTTGTTAAGTATATTCCATGATGAACGAAAAACAATTTCATTGAAATATTTTAAAAATATAAGGATAAACAAAGTCTCTGTTAGATAATTAGTTACAACATTTATGACAAAACGTATTCAGACGATTCTATTTAGATTTCCGAGTCGTTTCCATGATAACCGTACGCTTTGTTATTCGGGTTTTGACTGAAATAACTTAATCTTAAAATCCATACAACCGTGGCTAAGCATATTTGATTATGCGTACGTTAGGCCAAAGGATAAAATTTAGTCCGATATAACGAATTTGCTTTTAATCCTAAACAGATTCTAAAGTGTAGCAATGTACGTCAATGATTCTATGGTAGAATGCATACTAGCCAGGCGGGAGAGGTCGGGGTTCAGTTCCCGAGTAACACAATCTTTACACCCAGCCTTGTCCGCTAGCCGATTGTAATACAAGAAAAGAAGAGTGTTTTTCGAAGTGAAGCTAGCAACTCCATACCGTTGAAACAATAACACCATTACTGAAAATTGAAACCTTGAAGTCTTGCTCAAAAGAAGTAAAAAAAAATGGGTTAAGTTACCAAATTTGGTGTTATTTTAGCTTATTATTTTCATAGATGTTGAAATTTCTTTCCATATTTTGCTTATGTATAAAATGGTAGACCTTCATAAGCAAACTACTATTAAAATCAAGTGAAATAATTGCATTGGAAATAGTTTACTTTTGGCTGGTATTTTAGGTAGTGTTCTTTGTAGTTAGGTTTATTATGCACAACTTCTTGGAATGCTTAAATTTCAGACTATTTTAGACAGGTGAAGAATTAGTCATATTACCTGTAAAGGCATCGTTCTATATCACTAAATTTATGATTAGACGTTCAGCAGATATTCATTTAAGAAACTAATGAGACTTTCAGAAATACAACGGTGTAGTATATTCATAGACAGAACTGTGTCATGAGAGTTTTTTTTGTTTTGATTTGTTTTGATTTACAGCTTGATTCCACACTGTATTTTTGGTACATGTATGGAATTTTCAGCGTGGATATCGGTAGCCCGAATTTTGCAGGCCAACCATTCCATAGCAGGTGTGCGTCGAAAGGGGATCGAACCTCGGACCATGTGCATGGTCGGCGAGAGTCCTAACCACTGTGCCACCGACGCACGTAACCTAGACTATATTCATGAGAAAATAAATAAAACCATATTCAACCGTGACAATGACAAGTAATGATTCTCAAGCAGCTGTTTGATCTTCTTTTCATATTTATGTTCTCAAACTCCTACATGTGAAAGATACATTTGAATACGAGTATGTATGTGAAGATTCACATTAAGGTTTCAGAATAGTAATTTAAGCAGCACTTCTTCCAGAAGACATTTTAAATTTCCTAATAATGAAAATTCTTAGTATGTTTTTCGGACTAATAGTTGTTAGCACAAATAAAAAAACGAAAACCAGTATCTATTTCAGGTTTAAAGATGTACAATGAGTAGTTACTAGTTTTAGTCTCATATGAATGCATTTTTAACAGGAATATAAAATTAATATTAGATGGTTGTATGCAATCAGCAGAAAGCGTTGGACCTAAGCTGGCACTCATCGCTTAACACTTGTCTGGTAGAATTCAGTCGGCACCAAACAAACGGCTAGACACAATACACTAGTTACTAATTAGTGTTCGGTCAAAGTATTCAATACATTCCTACAGGAGGTCAGTCACGAGTTCAAACAACTCAGTGGTGGTGTCTGTGACTGCAGCACTGAGTGACGTCAGTTAGAATCTCAAAAGCGTCATGAATTCCTTCAAGGTTACAGATACGCCTTGCTTACTGGTAAATGGCAACTGTCACAAAATCTAGGTCCAAGGCTTCCTGCTGACTATCTCCAACTATCTATTCACAAGCAATAAAGGTTAATAAAGCAGGATTTAATGAATTCGTTGAATTTCGGGAGAATTCGTCAGCTGAATACTCTACATACACGGATATATATATATACTTTTGAAATTACACTGGGAGATATGACACTGATAAGTAAGCAAACTACATTGAATTAGTCATGCAGTAAGACATGTGCGAATGTTTTCCAGGTCATGTTAAAATAGATAAGGGGAGAGAGAGTATGAGAGATCAAAATTAAGATAAAATGCATTTCACTTCAATAATTTTTTGATTACAGCTTGATTCCAGACCGTATTTTGTGGTACAGGTATGGGATTTTCAGGATGTGATATCAGTAGCCCAAATTTTGCAGGTCGACCATAGATATCAGGTGTGCGTCGGCCGGGGATCGAACCCCGGGCTATTAGCATGGTTGGCAAGTGTCCTAATCACTGTCACACCGACGCACTTAGATAAACAGTTCGTCATTAGAGAATATAACAAGAATCGCAAACAGAGTAATATCAATAGTAATAGTTTTAGTAACAATAATAGCAGTGCTGAGGTGAGCTAAGATAATGCTACTGATAAAGGATAGTTTTAAATGAATCAAGAATAACAATTAATAATAATAATAATAATAAGAGGTAGAATTCATTAAATCCTGCTTTATTAACCTTTATTGCCTGTTTTAAATTCGAATCGGGAAATAAATGTTTTCAACCTATTCACAACGTTTCACACTGCATCTTGATGGTGAGCCACCTAGAATGGTGGCCACATTGCAAACTCAACTGACAGAATTTAGAAAAGAATAAATACATTACACTGGTTACCAGCTAGTGTCTAGTCAGAATATAAAGCTAATATGTACAGTCCTCCATTATTTGATTTGTCATGAGTTATACAAGCACATGTCTAATACAAAAGAATGATATTTATATTGTTTACAAATACATCTCAACTGTTTGGCATTCTGATGTTTCTCATGGACTCAGAGCAGTAGACACTTAATTTATTTTTCTATATGTTTTATTTTCATTAGTGCTTGATTCCACACAGTACTTTTTGGTAGAAGTATGGAATTTTCAGTATGCGATATCGATAGCCCTAATTTTTCAGGCCGACCATTGATATCAGGTGTGCGTCGTCAGGAGATCGAACCCCGGACCATTTGCAGTGATCGACGAGAGTCCTAACCACTGTGCCACTGACGCACAGTATTAAATTATAACTAACGGAAGTCTACACTTAGAACGTTATCTGAGAATTCAGTAGATTGTAACGAATAAAGCCTGATCTTTATAAACTTTGATCCGAATCTGTTGGGCAGGTGTACAACATTGTTAGTTAGCTAAACAGTATAACAATTAAAGTAAAGTAAATGTGACACTTACTTCAGGAGTTATTTTTTAATTTTTATCTCTTTGAAAATTATGAAAAAGGTGTCATTAGAGCGTTAATTTTGATCCTAATTCCCCTAAATACAAGCATAAATCATGATAAAATAACGTTATATTTATAAATGCTAAGTATTTTAATAAATTCAGTTTTTTTTTAAAATATTCTATTTAATAGTCTTGTGTTTAGTGTATGCATATTCTCTGCACATTGACTCATTTTTAAGCCCAGATACTGAGAATGAGAACCAATGAAAAATAAATTGAATTTATGCTTAGATTTGATGTTATTCTGATTGCGTTATTTCTCATATTGATTACGAGTTCAAAATGTATAAAATGTTGCATATTGTTTTATCTTTATTTTTATTTAAAAATTCCAGTTAGATAATGAATTTATGTGAATTGGAAAATATGCACACACAGATAAAGTGTTATACTGTTGGCCAGTTGACAACAGAATTAACTACTCCTTCTTTTAATCAACTGAAAACTGAAGCTGTACATGGATATCCAGAAAATCACTGTAATACATCATATCACAGTTGTATTTTCATGGATAATAATAATAATAGTAATAATAATGGTACACTGACTTCCCTGAACACAGACAATACTTTTAGTCATGAAATAAATAGTAGCAATAATACATACTGTAATATCAATCAGAAGTTTTCCCATCATGGTAAACATTTACAAAAACATAGTCATGTCAATGATCAAGAGGTAACACCTAACTATGACTACGTGAACAGTGATATACCATGGACAAGGTACTATGCAGATAACTTAACAAATTCAGTCGAAAGTTATGATCACAATGTACATACGAACAATGACTGTAGTAATCTTCCCACTGAAAATTATTTGACCTCTAGTTATCATTATGATCATCATGCTGGTTCTTCACAGATGCATTCACTTACAACTTATTCAATAATGAATGGTATGGAAAGTTCATATTTCACTAATGATGACCATCAACACTGTTTAAATGGAACTGTTCAGTCAAATGACTTGAATTTTTTAGATTTTCATAATAATTATCATGAAGACAGAAAACCTGATGTGATGAGTTTTATGAACACTAGTACGATCGTATCAGATAATAATTGTATAAATGATTCTACGGTAAATGCATCAATAAGTTCCTTAAGTAATCAATACTGTGTATCACAAGGGATAGTCCTAGGAAATTTAAAATCATTTAATTCTATGGACCAGTTTAATTCAGTTCGTTGTGACTGGTTAAGTGGTCAAGGCAGCATAGAGGATAATACAAATTGGCAAAGTAGTTGGAAAAGCAGTATAGAATATGATAATCAAACGAATGGTCAGTTGTATAACCAAAAAAGTGTTACAGATGAATTCAAAACTTTTCAGTGTCTCAGTAAGTTTTGCTGTTTAAGTGTGTTCTGCATTGATTTAAGCAAAGGTACTTATTTCATGAAAATTCACATTTTCGATGGGAAATAATCACGTCGAAACACTTACTTCATTACATTTAGCTTTGTGTGTCAAAAAAAACAGCGGTGAGTTTCAATTCACCGTCTAAACCTCGGTGACTTCCAGAAATCAGATGTCTCTTTTATCGAATGCGCTGCATGAAAGTTAATAGACTATTTTGTATTTCACTGGCTTACTGTATTATTTGTAAGACCATTCCCCTAGGAGACTGGAAAATATGCAATCATTCCCGCCAATTTCTGGAAACGTTAAACTGTTTCGAACTATACTTCAGTAACGAATTTTTTTTCCTTCACGTTCCCCAGTGGAACATAGGGCCTCAAGCTAGTGGTTTAATGTTTATGTAGCAGTGTTTATTTTACAGGATGGGGTTACTAGACTCATGCCCAACCCTTCCTCTTTACCACCATTATTTCTGGCTTAGCGAGGTAAAGGATTGCGCTGGTCGGGGATCGAACCGCAGAGCGTGTGCATGGTCGGCGATCGTCCTTACCGCTATGACAGTAACGAAATTATAATCTGTGATTTTATTTTGTTCTCTAGCATGGAAATGTTACCTACATTTTTTCTTTAATTTATTGAAAATGTGAGGGAATAAGCATATTCTTAATATACTGCCTAAATTAGCAGTCATTAAATAAATTTCCCCAAGTCTCAACAGTAAATATTATTATTATATATTATTGCTCCCTTGGGTTCCTAGTGGAACATAGGGCTTCAACTGCACGTATCCACTTGCTTCTGTCTTCTGCTGTACTTTTCACCTGCATCCATGTTAGTCCATACTCTTTCAATTCCTCTTCACACGATCTCCTCCATGTCACCCTTGGACGTCCCACACACGTCCCACACGCCGCTTCCCTTTCGGGTTCCACTCAAGGGCTTACGCGCGATGTAAATAAGAGACAAATATTGAATTATTTTCAGAAGAATCCGAATATTTATTTGAAAACATAGTTTACTTCTTTATGTTTAATTATTACTACGTATTTTGTAATCCGATCAAGTATGAAACTACAGTAGTAGAAGTTTTAACTTCTCATAGTAAATAAAGGGACAAATATGTTGAATAATACAAAGTTTAGGGATTTTAGTGAGTGTGCTAGTGTAACTCACGTGTTAAATTTTATGGGTGAAACCACTATCTCTCACGTTTTGTGAGTAGCCACCACTTACTCCAAATGATGCAGCATTACATTTTGTAGTTGAAGGTATTCAGTAATAATGAATTGAATGAAGGCTGATGCTAAATAAAAAAAATACTAATCGCATGTAAGTATAGGCGTATTTTAAGTTCCTAATAAACTTTCATAAAATGCTAAGGCGATTTTCGTTCATCATTGAAATATTTCATTTTATGATGACTGTGAACGTTTTGATTCTCTCAGTTTAAAATGATCCCTGTCATCACAGTTGCAATTCGGTTTCCATTAAAAAATTTGAAATGGATTCAACAACCAGGTCATAATTTGAAAAACAAACACAGATAATTTGATCGAAACACTATCAAATAAAATTACCATTTTAATATTTTCAAAGATTCCACCACATACTATTCCAGCAGATTCACTCCGCGGAAAGGGTATTTGATGAAAAGGCATAGTTTTGCAAATAAAACCAGACACTTAACAAATCAGACACCTATTTATTTATTTATGCTAATAAAGCTTTGAAAAATGGATTTCGATGTTCAGCAATGAAACGATTAAATGATATTTTGGTCGCACAGCTCTAAAAAATCTCATTTTCAACTGTCTTTGTATCTAGATTCAAAGCTATGAAGCCTGACCGTTTCTTTTTGAGTGCTTTTCATTGTTTCTTTTTTAAATTGAGTATGTTGTACCCTCTTATATATCATTTAAGTCCTAAGGATGAATTTTCAAATTCTTAGGACATTAACTGTAGTCAAGGGCTCCTTAACTTAATTCTCTCTCGAGTGATCTGTGCATAGTATTCAAATCCGTAGACTCTTAATTGTTTTTTTTTACCTAAGTGACATGATTCCTGGAATTCTTTTGAGATCATTGAATTTACATGTTTTAATGGTTCTAGAAGTTTTACAGGTCATTTTATATTTCACGTATATTGTCTCACAAAGTTATCCAACATAAAGCTTAGGTACCCACAAGGCTTACACATGTGCCATACAGAAGGATGAAAATTTTAGTGTAATTCGATGTTAAAATATATATTTCTTTTAAAATAAGGATATACAGTTTGAGTAATTTTAAGTAATTTCAGGGATATCCTGTCTATCATTCACGTAATTTATACTGTTTCAGGGCTTGTCCATTCTCTTTTAAAACTTACAGATTAGAAATACCTGTCAAATAGTTAAGTTCACTTTTTTTTAAATGCAAACAAGCGTATTTTATGAGCCCACTGTTACCCATGTTACAAAAAAAGTATTTCATTCCAAAATGTCGTTGTAAGTACACTGATGAAGATTAGAACATGGTACTGCGGTGTCACTTTAATGCCTTCGCCTTATTTAGTGTCTACTTATTCAGAACCATGTGAATCTTCTTCACTCTATTTCATATTCAGTGTATATGATATTCTAGTTATCCTTATCTCTAAATCGTGACAAAATAAATTTCACATGTATCACTCTGTTTCATTTATATCCTGCAATAATTAACGATTATGAATAATTTATGTAGCCAGTACTGAGTAAACATATAGAGTATAGTAAAGTTAAAGAAAATAAAGATTTTCACCAAAACATCTAAAAGATCTAAGTTCTGACAACAAGTATTAGTACATTAAATGCTACCAACCAGCTGAAGCAGGGTTTCAGAGTAAGAATAGTAATAATAATCGTAGTTATAAGGGAAAGTGCATAAAATAACTAAATGAACAAAATAAAATAAATAAATGTCTATCCCTCTACGGCCAAAGCAGAATTAGGAATCGTACATACTTCTTTTGTAGACAGAGGTCTGGCTTAAAGATGTGAATCGTCAAGGCTTCCGCTATCTTTAGAAGTCTGTAACGAAGAAAACGCGGGAAGTTAGCATGGATTCTATATATGATCTTAAAATCATGGTTAGGGTTGACAGAGTGACAGAAGTCGATCAAGTGTTCCAGAATAGTGCTTCGCACACAATTCTTTTCTCCCTCGTAAAACGAATATGTTCTCGTATCCGTGTGGAAAGCCTCCTCTGACTACGGCCAATGTACCTTGCTCCACATGGAGGCGGCCAGACGGGGTAGCTTACCTTTTACTGACGCAGAGAACCACATGCGGCTACTGGACGTCATATGTAATTTTGCTGCAAAGAACGTCTTACTGACCGATTTAGAGAGATGATTTTTGAGCATATCTGAAACTTGATCACCTTTGAATTCCAAGTTCATGAATAAGGTTTTCTTTGGAACTGAGTCATTGACCAGTTTAGACTGCTTATCTTTCATGTTGTTGTCAATGAATCGGTTAGGGTAACCGTTTTCTGCGATCATGGCTTTTAATGAATAATGAAATCCAAGACTGTTGAGAATTATTAAGTAATAGTTAGAATTATTTTATGAAGAATATCTCCATAATGAGTGTGCTTATTCACAAAATGAGTATTATGATTATTATTTTTCCCTTGAGTTCCGAGTGGAACAACACGTTTCCACATCTATTCTTTGCTCTTCTCTTCACCTGGGTCCACGATTGCCCGTAACCTCTCATCTCCTCACCACATGATCTCTTCCACATCATCCTCAGATGACTCACTTGTCGTTTCTCATTTGGGTTACATTTGAGGGCCTGGTGCGCAATATCATTCGACGGTCTCTTTAGCGTATACCCAATTCAACCCCATTTTCTCATACATGTCTGCTGGTTGGTTTGTTGCCAAAGTCTCTTGTTGCTAATTCTTTCTGGCCATTTGATCTTAAGTTTGGAGTGAAAGCAGTTGTTGATGAAAGCATGTTACCTGTAGGAAATGCTTTTCGTGATGTGCCACTTTTCTGACCCAAATAAAAGCACTAACTTACTTCACATTCGTGTTGAAAATTCTAGTCTTGCAATTATGCAGGTTAAGTGAAGTAGAAGATATCCAAACTGGTTTCACACTGATGAAAGCGTATCTTGCCTTTCTGATCCCAACTGGATTTGACATTTTTATCCGTTCCGCTAGCTGATTATTTATTATTATTGTATCCTTTAGTTCCTAGAGGAACTTAGGGCTTCAGCTGAACATCTCCATTGCCTTCTGTTTTCTGACACCTTTTTCACCTCTCTCCAAGTCTGCCAACACGCTTTCATCTCCTCCTCGCATGACCTCCTCCAAGTCACCCTTGCACTGACAACTAACTCGCCGCTTCCCTTTCGGGTTCCGCTGGAGCGATGGCTTGTCTAGTGATGTCACTCAATGGTTTCCTCAGAGTATGGCCAACCAATCCATCTCCATTTCTTCCTGCCTATTTGTTTCACAATCGGTTCCTGGTTGGTTCGCTCACTGCCAGAGATCCCTGTTGCTGATCTCTTCTGGCCGGCCATCTGATCTTTAGTAGTGTTGAGCGAAGACAACTGTTAATGAAGGTCTGAAGTATGTTTGAGATGCTTTTTATGACTCGCCAAGTCCCTGATCCGTATAGTGAGTAGCACTGACTGACTTCACATTGGAGTTGAAAATCTGGATGTTATTTTCCTTTTGCATTCTGAGTGGGGCTGTTGACCTTCAAACAGACTTGAGAGTAATTGAAGCTTGTCTTGCTTTTCCGATTCTGGCTTTGATATCCTCGTCAGTTCCGTTGGCGTGTAGTTGAAACGATGCTTCACAGGTAGGTAGGTAGGTAGGTAGGCAAAGGAGGTTGTTTCTTTCAGGTTCCTCCCATTTATGCTGGCTGATTGTTGTCTGTTGTTGTTGTTGATGTTGGCTAGGAATCTTCATCACCTCTGTTTTCTCTATGTTCACTTAAAGTCCTATC